GGAAGTGAAAGGCAAAAGAGGAAGTAAACTGGTCACAATAATCTCCCGTAAATGTGTGAACCAGCAGGTGTGACGATGTGCTGCACTTCAACAGCACTGTCTCTTGATGGCGTATTACCACAGTTCTACATTACACGTTGTTGGTTAGTCAGTCGACAGATTATCCTCACTGCACATGGAACCATCCAGTCCATAAGTGCGCGGATCCCCTCCTCAGTAAATCCCGCAGCATGTAACAGCTCACGACACCAGTTCTGTCTTGGTTTTTTTTTTTTTTTGCTCCCTGCACAGTGATCTTGTCTGGCTTAACCCCTTTTAACAACATGTTCTTGCAGTCTCCCACTGCAGGCTGCGTGGATTTTTGTCGTGGTATGGGACGTCGCAGGTCGACCCAGCCTAAAATGGGTACCAGGATGGGCTGTCCTGGGAAAGTAAAGACAGCCGGCGTAGTGCTGACCATATTACCCACAGAGTGCTGATGGTCTGTAAAAATATGGGACGCTCTGCCCATATGCCCGATGCGCCGAAAGGTGTGAAAAGGGAACTTTACTTTTTTTTTTTTCTTGCAGTCTGGTCTTGTTGTAGATTCACGGTCATCACTTGGTTCTCGCAAACCTCTTAATTCTCGTAGAGCATTTATGAATTACAGCATGGTCCGTGGTTCGTTCGTCCGCCCGCCATAGTAGTTCCGATCAGCTTGCTCATGTCCTTGCAGGCCTGCATGCCCTGACACAAATGTGAAACTGATGTGTGTCAGCCCCCGCCGTTTTAGAGACTCCAGCCACTGTCTTCGGATCCAGCCCTTCTCTATCTTATAGGAACAATTCTATATGATTTAGCCACTGTAAAAACGCAATATCAACGCTTCCATTAGTTTCCTTTTCTTCGGGCTCACGAGCAAGGCATTGTAACAACTACCTGCAACTGAAGCGAGCTTACAAAACTAACCCTAGCGATTGTTGGTTACTTATGATTTCTTAATTAGCCAATTTTATGTTGTCGTTTTCAACTGCTTACTAGACGAACAACGCTTATACCAATGCCGAATCGAACCTCGGAATTATGAAGCTGCGTTCAAAACCCTGAGGCCCAGACATCGACTACAACACCTGTAACTAGACGTAACTTATTGTGAAGGGGAAAAGAGGGGCGTGGGGGGGGGGGGGGGCTAAAGTAATATGCAACTTCTTAGTATTCACAGCCTGTAAACTCGGACGGAAAACTCTTGATATTCGTCTACTTCTGGATTTAGAAATCGTGTTCCAGAACCTGAGTTTTGCCTGCACATCAGTTTTACAGATCTAGCTTGTGTGTATTCGGACTGTTGGTTTCTTGCCTCTCACACAGATGCACTCTGACTTTTAGGAAACGCCCCTAATTAGCTGCATTTTTACGGCAAGCTATAGGTATTACATAACAAGCACAGGTAGCAACTGTTGTCAACAGTCGTGGTTTCCCAATGCCGAAAGCAGCACGCGCAAACGTAAACAGAGGGATGACTTCAAACAGCAGGCCACGGCGATGCAGAGACCCAAAGACGCCTGTCATGATGCACCATGTGTGGGACTTAAGGTGTGAAAAAAGGGGGCAGGGGTCACCTATGGCGGGAGACGCAGAAGCATATAACAGGACCCGAACCGCCGTTTCGTTGTGAACGGTAGCAAGGTCAAGGTTACTCCATGGCAGATCTGCTGTCAGAATGGAGAGAGAGACAGAGAGAGAGAGAGAGAGAGAGACAGAGACAGAGGTGGCTACATAAACTAGGTAACAATAGTATGAGCTAAAATGACTCATTCGCTTCCATCTGGATTTGATCTCCTCTGTCTTTTTTACATGTTTGACTCCCTCTGTTTTGCCGTTTTTTTTAATACCAGCCCTACCTCCCCTACATTATGTTGTTCAGTGTGCCTAATACAATGTAACGTCAGTCTGTGTGTTCAAAGTAATGAAATACTTATATGCACATAATTTAGTAACTAATACAACGTCTGTCTGTCTGTCTGTCTGTCTATCTATCTATATCTGTATTTGTGTATGTGCGCGCGCACACCGGCATGCATGTCCATTTGTGTGTGTGTAAAATATGTCATGACTATTTGTGTGTGTGAGTGTGGCGCGCGCGTGTGTGTGTGATGTAATGTCTATATGTGTTATATCTAACAATAAAGAAATACAGCCAGTAATGAATCTTCACCGCCTTTTGCCATGGCAGGGAAAGGTGTTACTACACAAATCATTCATGCTGCTGGAGATGTCCAACACATGAAGAAGAATTATCTATCTCAATGCTAGTTGGCAAGGTCCCTCATGATGAGAACAGCCAGTATTTCTCCAACTACTTCAATGATTTACATCCCACAAGCAGGTCAAGTGAAAAGAAAAGAAAATGCAAATAAAACCCTTCATTAACTTTCTTTCTCTCTCTCCCCCCCCCCCCTCTCTCAAAAACACACGTACATCCCATTGTTTAATTTCATAACATATGGCAAGTGTTACAGCCATGTGCATATGTGGCAAACTGCCCCAGACCGCAGAACATGTACTCCAGGACTGCGTTGAATATAACACATTAGGGCAAAACTTTTGCACAGAAAGAACAATAGTGGAACGTAAACTTTACTGACCACTAAATGAGCTAAAAGTGACAGCGAAATGTATAAGAGAAACAAAACTGCAAATACAGATAACCTATTTCAGGTGCACGAAAAGAGAATAAGAAGAAATAAAACATGACACTCTTATGGCTAGATCTGCAACAGCACAATTTTTTTTTAATTTTATGAATGAAAATGTAAATACGTGAATTTAATAAAAGAATCATAAACTGGATACTACTAGTAAATTTTGCTCTTCACGCGAATATCCTTTATTTATAAATAATATTTTATATATATCATCGCAATCACTGTGGTGGAGTGAACAGTATGTCTAGTAGACAACAGTGAAACGTCTTCTGCCTTTCTAGCCCCCAATGAAGCATAGGCCCTCAACCAACTCACGCGTTGTTCTATCCTCTGCTTTCGCATGCAGCTCTCCCTATGTCCTCTCCATCTTTCTAACTCCATTCTCTAGCTTCCTCCTCCATGTGTTTTTCGGCCTTCCTTTATTCCTATGCCCATGTCAGTAGTAATAATCCTAATAGTGATACTTTCCTTCTTTTGCATTTACCCATTAAAAAAACAGGGTGGCACTGTGTTGTAGTTTACAGCTAGGCTGTGAAATTTGCACCTTTCAGTTTAACACATCTGATTTCAGCAAATGCTTAATTCATCGCCAATTATAATGTGTTTACTAACCAGAACCAGATCTATTCTGTTTACCCACAACAAACTGGGACCCAGAACCCAAACAGAAACAATGTTTTGATAGTGCGCACATGCCTTAAACATACATCTATAATAAAACCTAACAACTGCGTACAATTGGCATCACCATCATCAATACAATAAGGGACAGTTATCCATGAGAAACTTGAAAGCTCTAAAGAAAATTTCAGTTGCTTCCCCTGTTAGGTGTTTATATATTAAAAACAAAAAACATCATTAACGCCTGTTGCATAATGGACATATGATACCAGACTCATATTTGTACAGACCAATTGTAAATAGATTATCGACATGTAATGTGGTCAATATCTAGCCGGCCGCCTTTGCTTCCCAGAAAATTAACTGATACCAATTTAAGGCTCTTCTCCTGTTAAGGTTTGCATAATAATTCACTGACTGCTATTGTCTCGCACAGAGAGGAATAAAATATGAGGATTAAAAAAAACAAAAATAAGGCTACACACTAGACAACAGGAACAAATATATACTGTATGAACCTCAAATGTGAACTCTAATTTCCATTTGCATATTTGCCATTTTGATGATTTGAAAAACACCCTTCTCTCTTCTGCATATGGAAAAGAAGGGAAAGAGGGAGGGGGGGGGGGGGGGGGGTGTCCACTTCTTGTGTGGATCACTTTTAACAACAAACTGAGAACTGTTACATGTTGAGCAATACCCAACCCCAACAGAAGCTTTTCTTTCTGCCGTTAAAACTTCTGCCCTTAGCAGACGAAGAAACCAACACTTCTGGTTGGATCCAATTCTCTGTCAACTTCACTTTTCCGATTTGCACATACTGACCTTTTTACAAGGAACACTGTTAAAGCTATTAAAGAAACTCTTCATGGCATGACAATAGCAGCCAGCGCACACACTATCGCAAATTATTGCTCCTACGATGCCTAATGGCAGAAGTGATTTATGATGATGACGATTACTAACCACAAAATATATAAGGGTTTTCCTTTGAGCTAAACTGATTTTTTTTTTAAAGCTAAGTTAAAGTTGAAGGTTGCAGTGACAGAGCCTCAGTGATAGAGGTCACAGGGTCATGGCACGAGCCACCGGATACACTGGGCCCTGTGGGAGGTATTCCATTGAGTGCTTCATCCTTTTCCTGTTTACAGACTTCTTCTTTCATTTATATTTATATATTTCATTTTTTTTTTTATTATTAAATGTAGATAAATGTACTAATAAATTTATCAGATTAGTGACCTGTGAAGAAAAAAACTAAATTTTTTTTTATATACAGATTTTGTTTTTTCTATTCTTACGGTTTCAGGACCAGGGTTGAGACACAAACAGTTTCAACAGGGGTTGTTAAAGAGATTTCAGGCATTACAGCCTCAAACAGTGAGAGAGAAAAGATGTTTTTAATAACAGCTCTCAACTTTAAAATAATAAGAAAGAAATAATGGTTTTATAAAAGTTCTCAGGCAGGAATCCTTGAAACAGTGAGAAAAAAAAAAATTCTCGGATATGAAACCTTGAAACACAGAGAAATTCTGTTTTTATAATATTCCAAATGATTGAAACTTTGAAACAACGAGAGAGACGAGACGTTTTTGTAATACATCTAAGAAATGAAACCTTCAAATGTGATAGAGAAAAGATGCTTCTATATAGTTCTAAAAAGAGCTCTCAGGCATAAAAACTACATGTACTCACTAATATCTGCTGTTGGCAACATGTTCCCTGACATTTTCACCTCCTCAAATTTTGAGTTTAACAAGTTCAACCTGTGGACGAACAAGAGAACAAATAAAAACAGCCATAAAGCCGTGATTGGTAAACAAGTAAACAACCTAAAATATTTCGCACTGTCACTGAACTGGTTCCCTATGTGGGTTCAAGGGTCCCATTGTAGGAAAAATAAAAATAAAATAGACTCACTGCCTCCCCAACAAGCATGTCATAAGAGTTGATTAATAGGGGGTTTTATTCCAAGTCAGATTGCATCTGCCTGAAGACAAGGAACCAACCATCCGCTCACAAATAAGTCAGATCTGTGAAACGGTTGTGCATGCAACACTCAGGTTCTGGAACAAGTCTAAAGTCCAGAGGTGGTTAAACAACCATAACTTTCTGTCTGAGTTTAAAGCTGGTAAACGTGAAGAAGAAGACCATTATCAGGAATTTTACAATCACACTGTGGAAGAGATTGGGGCCTCACCACAAAATATTCCTAGAGCTAGCAGTGGATACATTACAGCAAACCTTCAATGTGGAAACTGCACAGTGTGAGTGTGCGTGTGCACATGCGCGTAAGCGTTTGATTGTAGTGAAAGTGATAAATGATGGTTATGATAAGAAAGGTAGTACAAACAAGTGTTGGCAGTGATTACAATGACAACCTAGATGACAGAAAATGTCAGATAAATGACAGAAAAGAAGAATCTTCAAATGGGAATTGAACCTAGACCACTGTATTGGTAAGTAATGCGACTTGGGAGTACCAAGAAGAAAGCTGGTGTGTACAAAGCCAACTGATCCATCGCCCCTTTAGGTTCTGGGGTATCATTTTGGGAAAGAGGAAGGGGGGGGGGGGGGGGGGGGCAGACCCACTGTCCAGGAACCAGCATGTGGTAAAAGGTGACTTATTAAAAGTTTGCTAAAACTGAAGTGGTGGTAGATAAAGCAGCCTAGCTGTAAACCACAACACAGAATGCCAGGTACCCTTTCTCAGTGAGTGCAGTAAAATTAGTTTTGGATAATACAATCATACTGTCCCCCATGCTACCATGGCTGGTGCTACTGACCTGATGAACTTTACAAGCCATATTTCCTTAAAATAAACACAGATATCGAGGAAATGAATACCAGTCTCACACTAACCTCTGTTGCGACAATCCCTTATTCCTGAGATCACCCCTGACTTTCTCTCCGACATGGCGATAAATCTCCACCAGAGAGTTGACGGCAGCTTCCCGCACCTGCAAATGCACAAAGAGGAATTGTCTAGTTTTCAGAGAAATTGATCTGACATGCTTTCATCAAGCTATTGTATATCTTACTGCTTGTCTTGTTGTTTGTGTACAACACATGCCTGAATGTCTGCCTCCAAAACATTCTACATCACTGGCCCTGTCCCTCCATTACTCTCTTTTTCTCTCTGTCATTAATGTCTGTTATCTACTGCCCCTTTTTGTTGTTATGTTTTACTTTACTTTATCTTTAATTCACCCCAACAAAGCAAATCCAGGAGTTCCCATGGAAAGTCCAATATTCTAGGGGAGTTATTGTTTTGATGTTAGGTATTAGGACTAATGTTAGAGTTAGGGGTAGTGTCAATCAGTGTTTATGAGGCAGTCGGCGCTGACAAAGATCCTAACCCTAATTCCAACCCATACCACCACTAGACAACTGGACTTTCCTGGGAACTTCGCGATTTCCAATGTTTGGTGTTAATTAAATATAAAGCACCATTTTCTTTTTCAGCCATATAACTTGTTCGCCTATCAAAAGTGATGAGTGCCAGTGTTTCTGTCCTCCGTCATGACACTATAGCTGATTTGAGTTTGGAAGTGACTTATAAGCCCCAAATGGGCCAGGAAAGATCTAGGGCAATGAGGGAAGGATCTAGGACAATGAGGGCAGGAAACAGTGCCTAGATAAAGGGCCTGTTATATGGGTCTTTCCAGCCTGACTTCGCTATGCAGCTGTTCTTTTTCTAGATGTCTCGCAAGTCGCTGTGCCTCTTCAGCTAGATATTTGACAAATAATCCAGTCTTGTGCAGCAGTCTCCCAAGTGTCCAGTGAGTGTCCAAGAGTTTATTTAAAGGCTTTAAGTGATGCCTTTGAAGCATTTTTCTGGCCACCAGGAAGCACACAGCCATAAAGCACAGTTATACTGGGCAACACAAAACTGCTATGAAGCAACCTGTAGTTCAATGTGGGTAATTCTGACTGGATTTTTGCACCTATTTTTATATCAAAGACGTGATGTTTACTAATGTTCTGTCTCATTACATATGTGTCACCACATCTTTTTATCATCCTCTATTTTTTTCTTCTGATTCCCCTGTTTTTTCTAAAGCAGTGACCCCGCTTTTCTCTCCTCGCCACAGCATATGCCTGTAGACCTGAACCTATATTTCCCTGAATCTGTCGAAAATGTCCCTGTCTATCTACATCTCTTTGTTTTTCTTTGTATCAGTTCCTTGATGGGAGTGATGACCAGGAGACTGTCCCTTATTGTTACTGGTGTAGTTGTCGTCAATAAAGGCTCCTGTCAAAACTTCAAATTTCTTGTGTGTGTGCGCACGTACATGCGTGTGTATGTGTATGTTTTTTCCCTTCCGGCCTTGATTAAGCTTCTCAGTCACAATTCAGTGCATTAATTTCATATTTTTATTAGCTTGACTGCAGTCACCCATGTTTTTATCAGTTCCTTTGTGTTTCTGTCAACTACTATCTGTGTATCATTTTCATGCCTCTGTCTCTGCCCATTTATATCTATCTGGCTCTCTACGCATCAGTTCTCTGATGTTTCTGTCAACCGTTATCTTTGTCTCTATGTATTTGCTCCCTGATATTTTTGTCAACCATTATCTTTGTCCCTCTATGTATCTACTCAGTCATAATTATGTGAACCATAATTTTCTTTTTGTCCCTCTTATCTTTCTGCTTTCCTATGTCTCTGCTGAACTAGATCTTTTTGTCTCTCTATATATATATCTGTTTGTTTAATAATATTTATGTCAATCTTGTTCCCTCTTATGTTCCTCTATCTCAATGTTCCTACATTTCTATACCTCTCTATCTCTGTCCATTGGCTTCTCTTTGTCCCTCTTATGTATTAAATCACCCCATCTCTGTTTCCTACATTTGTTTTTCAATATGTCGTTGCTTACCTATATATCTGTATGTACATACATGCTACCTACTTATATCTACCCACCTACCTACCTGCCTATCTATCTACCTACTTAGTGTCCCTGAACTCTACAACCTTATTAGAGATTTCTACAACAACAATCACAGAAACGCACCTGGGGGCTAGGGTCATCCAACAGTTTGCAAATATCTGGCACAATCTTGGACAACTGCAGGCAACGAGCTCCATACCTGAAAAGAAAATCAAACGATGTATTCATCGTCATGATAATAAAACACATACACCAATTCTGCTGTTTAGCGTCGTGGGGAGGAATAATTGCGATCCAGCAAACGCTGGCTGGTACTGGCTCTGTTAAAAATCGGGATCCAGCTGACACTTTCTCTGTTAAATGTTGTGATGAGGAATAATTGCCATCCAGCACACATTGGCTGGCAGTGGCTCCGTTAAGTGTTGTGGGAAGGACTAATTGCCATCCAGCACACATTGGCTGGCAGTGGCTCCGTTAAGTGTTGTGGGAAGGACTAATTGCCATCCAGCACACATTGGCTGGCAGTGGCTCCGTTAAGTGTTGTGGGAAGGACTAATTGCCATCCAGCACACATTGGCTGGCAGTGGCTCCGTTAAGTGTTGTGGGAAGGACTAATTGCCATCCAGCACACATTGGCTGGCAGTGGCTCCGTTAAGTGTTGTGGAAAGGACTAATTGCCATCCAGCACACATTGGCTGGCAGTGGCTCCGTTAAGTGTTGTGGGAAGGACTAATTGCCATCCAGCACACATTGGCTGGCAGTGGCTCCTTTAAGTGTTGTGGGAAGGACTAATTGCCATCCAGCACACATTGGCTGGCAGTGGCTCCGTTAAGTGTTGTGGGAAGGACTAATTGCCATCCAGCACACATTGACTGGCAGTGGCTCCGTTAGGTGTTGTGGGAAGGACTAATTGCCATCCAGCACTCATTGGCTGGCAGTGGCTCCGTTAAGTGTTGTGGGAAGGACTAATTGCCATCCAGCACACATTGGCTGGCAGTTACTCCGTTAAGTGTTGTGGAAAGGACTAATTGCCATCCAGCACACATTGGCTGGCAGTGGCTACTGACATGCAGTGAAAGCGTAAAGTACCTTTACTTTGTCAATTTCCTGTGGTCATCTTCTTGTACTTGTAGCTGATCTTCGGAGATGCAGTGCCAGTGATGGTATTTCTTCTTTTCTTCTTCTGCGTTCATCTGAAGATGCAAATACCCCTTTACAACCAGACTGCAATATTTGCACCTTTTGGCACACACATCAGACCTCTGCAGACATGTGATGCCTGGGTTAGCTTGCCCAGTTAGTTTCATGGGACACTGCAGCCTCACTGTTGTGTGGTCACCTTTATTTCTAAGATTACAGGTAGTGTCCCCCTAATGCCGGTCCAGAAATACCATGTAATGCCGGTCAGCCCTCAAGAGAAGGTAGGGGCAGAAATCAGCATGCCAGCAGAGGCATGGGATTTTGATTACCTAAACAGAATGAGTACTTTGCCTCTTTTGCATGTTATACTTTTATTGCAGTGGACCTCAGGGTCCACTACAGTTTCACAGGACATTTGCCACAAAGTCGTTTAGGGGCATCCAGTGTGGCAGTATAGAAACAGATGGAGTTTTTCCACTTCATGGTTTCTGAACTGTGCATCTCTAGGACAGTGGGAGGGGCACCCCTTGAGGGTGGGGGAAAAAAAAAAGGGGGGGGGGTGGTTGTTTGAAGGGAGAGGGGGTGCATCAAACAATTTTGAAAACTAGTGCATTTGCACTTGTAATAATCTGTTAAACTTACATCTTTCTGTTTTAGTGTAATTAGTTAGGTTTTTTTTTTCTCATAGGGTGTGTCCTGCAACATATTCAAGGGGGGCATTGAGGTCCTACAACATACTCAAGGGGGGCATTGAGGTTCTACAACATACTCGAGGGGGGCATTAAGGTCCTACAACATACTCAAGGGGGGCGTTGAGGTCCTACAACATAAGGGAGCATTGAGGTCCTACAACATACTCAAGGGGGGCATTGAGGTCCTGCAACATAAGGGAGCATTGAGGTCCTACAACATACTCAAGGGGGGCATTGAGGTCCTGCAACATACTCAAGGGGGGCATTAAGGTCCTGCAACATACTCAAGGGGGGCATTAAGGTCCTGCAACATACTCAAGGGGGGCATTAAGGTCCTGCAACATACTCAAGGGGGGCATTAAGGTCCTGCAACATACTCAAGGGGGGCATTAAGGTCCTGCAACATACTCAAGGGGGCATTGAGGTCCTGCAACATACTCAAGGGGGGCATTGAGGTCCTACAACATACTTAAGGGGAGCACTGAGGTCCTACAACATACTCAAAGGGGCATTGAGGTCCTACAACATACGCAAGAGGGACATTGAGGTCCTGCAACATACTTAAGGGGGGCATTGAGGTCCTGCAACATACTCAAGGGGGGCATTGAGGTCCTGCAACATACTCAAGGGGGGCATTGAGGTCCTACAACATACTCAAGGGGGCATTGAGGTCCTGCAACATAATCAAGGGGGGCATTGAGGTCCTACAACATACTCAAAGGGGGCATTGAGGTCTTACAACATACTCAAGGGGGCATTAAGGTCCTACAACATACTCAAGGGGGGCATTGAGGTCTTACAACATACTCAAGGGGGGCATTGAGGTCCTACAACATACTCAAGGGGGGCATTGAGGTCCTGCAACATACTCAAGGGGGGAGGGGGGGGGGGGGGGCATTGAGGTCCTGCAACATACTCAAGGGGGGCATTGAGGTCCTGCAACATACTCAAAAGGGGGCATTGAGGTCCTACAACATACTCAAAGGGGGACATTGAGGTCCTACAACATACTCAAGGGGGCATTGAGGTACTACAACATACTCACGGGCGGCATTGAGGTCCTGCAACATACTCAAGGGGGCATTGAGGTCCTGCAACATAGTCAAGGGGGGCACTGAGGTCCTACAACATACTAAAGGGGGGCATTGATGTCCTACAACATACTCAAGGGGGGCATTTAGGTCCTACAACATAGTCAAGGGGGGCATTGAGGTCCTACAACATACTCAAGGGGGCATTGAGGTCCTGCAACAAACTCAAGGGGGGCACTGAGGTCCTACAACATACTCAAGGGGGGCACTGAGGTCCTACAACATACTCAAGGGTGGCATTGAGGTCCTACAACATACTCAAGGGGGCATTGAGGTCCTGCAACATACTCAAGGGGGGCATTTAGGTCCTACAACATACTCAAGGGGGGCACTGAGGTCCTACAACATACTCAAGGGTGGCATTGAGGTCCTACAACATACTCAAGGGGGCATTGAGGTCCTGCAACATACTCAAGGGGGGCATTGAGGTCCTGCAACATACTCAAGGGGGCATTAAGGTCCTGCAACATACTCAAGGGGGGCACTGAGGTCCTACAACATACTCAAGGGGGGCATTGAGGTCCTACAACATACTCAAGGGGCGCATTTAGGTCCTACAACATAGTCAAGGGGGGCATTAAGGTCCTACAACATACTCAAGGGGGCATTGAGGTCCTGCAACATACTCAAGGGGGGCATTGAGGTCCTGCAACATACCTAAGGGGGGCACTGAGGTCCTACAACATAGTCAACGGGGGCATTGAGGTTCTACAACATACTCAAGGGGCGCATTTAGGACCTACAACATAGTCAAGGGGATCATTGAGGTCCTACAACATAGTCAAGGGGATCATTGAGGTCCTACAACATAGTCAAGGGGATCATTGAGGTCCTACAACATTGTCAAGGGGGGCATTGAGGTCCTACAACATACTCGAAGGGGGCATTGAGGTCCTACAACATAGTCAAGGGGGCATTGAGGTTCTACAACATAGTCAAGGGGGGCATTGAGGTTCTACAACATAGTCAAGGGGGGCATTGAGGTTCTACAACATAGTCAAGGGTGGCATTGAGGTTCTACAACATAGTCAAGGGGGGCATTTAGGTCCTACAACATACTCAAGGGAGCACTGAGGTCCTACAACATAGTCAAGGGGGGCATTGAGGTCCTACAATATACTCAAGGGGATCATTGAGGTCCTACAACATACTCAAGGGGATAATTGAGGTCCTACAACATAGTCAAGGGGATCATTGAGGTCCTACAACATAGTCAAGGGGATCATTGAGGTCATACAACATAGTCAAGGGGGGCATTGAGGTCCTACAACATACTCAAGGGGGGCATTGAGGTCCTACAACATAGTCAAGGGGATCATTGAGGTCCTACAACATAGTCAAGGGGGGCATTGAGGTCCTACAACATAGTCAAGGGGATCATTGAGGTCCTACAACATACTCAAGGGGGGCATTGAGGTCTTACAACATACTCAAGGGGATCATTGAGGTCCTGCAACATACTCAAGGGAATCATTGAGGTCCTACAACATAGTCAAGGGGGGCATTGAGGTCCTCCAACATACTCAAGGGGATCATTGAGGTCCTACAACATACTCAAGGTGGGCATTGAGGTCCTACAACATAGTCAAGAGGGGCATTGAGGTCCTACAACATACTCAAGGGGGGGGCATTGAGGTCCTACAACATACTCAAGGGGATCATTGAGGTCCTACAACATAGTCAAGGGGGGCATTGAGGTCCTACAACATACTCAAGGGGATCATTGAGGTCCTACAACATAGTCAAGGGGGGCATTGAGGTCCTACAACATAGTCAAGGGGGGCATTAAGGTCCTACAACATACTCAAGGGGGCATTGAGGTCCTACAACATACTCAAGGGGGGCATTGAGGTCCTACAACATACTCAAGGGGGGCATTGAGGTCCTACAACATACTCAAGGGGGGGCATTGAGGTCCTACAACATACTCAAGGGGGGCATTGAGGTCCTACAACATACTCAAGGGGTGCATTGAGGTCCTACAACATACTCAAGGGGGGCATTGAGGTCCTACAACATACTCAAGGGGGGCATTGAGGTCCTACAACATACTCAAGGGGGGCATTGAGGTCCTACAACATACTCAAGGGGGGCATTGAGGTCCTACAACATACTCAAGGGGGGCATTGAGGTCCTACAACATACTCAAGGTGGGCATTGATGTCCTACAACATACTCAAGGGGGGCATTGAGGTCCTACAACATACTCAAGGGGGGCATTGAGGTCCTACAACATACTCAAGGGGGGGCATTGAGGTCCTACAACATACTCAAGG